TGATTTTAATTATATCATTATCAAATTATTTTGATATTGTCAGTTAAATACATTTCAATTAATATTCTTATCACAGAAAATTTTTTTAATTATCTTTTTTTTAATTATCACTAAAAAATTTAAACTACCTAGTAATTTATAAATTGTTTAATCTATTATAGTTAATAAGATCAGTGGAAAAATAATAAGAGTTCTGTAAATAAGATTTTTATTTAGATAAAAAATTTATTTACGCAAGTATCCTTTATAAGGATGAGAGAGAGAGAGAGAGAGAGAGAGAGAGAGAGAGAGAGAGAGAGAGAGAGAGAGAGAGTATTTCGTATGTAAAACTTCATAGTGTCATTTCATTCCTTCCCATTTCGCTTCTCGTTGAGAGGAAAACTGTCTCGCAATCAAACCGAGATGGAACTTGAACGGCTCTCGCATAAGTCTTCTTGACTCTGTGCATGCATTGTTCCTATACGAGTTGACAGATGAGACTGATGTGTCAGGCCTGTCGAGAGCTTGAAACACTACTATTGTAGGAAACGAGCTCTTCCTCGCCTAGTTCACTCTAATTCGGTGTGCCATACTCCATAATCCCGATGTGGAATAATCTGTGTTCCGCGAGTATTTAGAAACAGAATGGTAACGTGTGACAAGTTTGTGCGATTACCTCGCGAGATCTAGTTTGCGGAGACGTAATAAATATCAAGCTGCTTCGCCTCTAGCGTTATGTTAATAGAGCATCAAGGTACGTCGAGATGCGTTGAGAGACAATCTTTTCGAAGATTAACAATCTTTTTCATTTTACGAATCTTTTCCGCAAGCAAAGTTGATTACTTCTTTATGAAAATATACAGCGCATTAGCCATTATAATAGTGCAGAAATAAAAATATAATCACACACAATGGAAGAAACATAGGAAGAACATATGCTGTAAATAGTGTAAATGATTTTCAACTCGAAGGTTAGCTCTCGCTTGACAAGAATACCAAGTATTTTTCTTGCGACGTTAAATTCTGCATTAAATATACGTTCGTTGAATTCATTATTGTACAGTCCGTCTTCGTGCATGTTTGTTCCCAAAGCGCCACGATGTTTCTCTCGGGAAGGAAGCAGGGCCGATGCAAGAATACTTTTAAATTATTTGAGTCTTAGACTGAGAAGAGAAACTGAAATAGCGTAAATCTTCAATCTTTAAACGTAAATCTCTCATACTTTAGCTTCATTCCTTACACAATGTCGATATTCAGTGTATCTAAATATTCAGTGCATCTAAATAAGTAATTGTATAGTTGATTAAAATTTTATTTTTCCAGCATTACAGATGTTAACAAAATTATCAATAAAAATCTTAATATACGTGCCATACTTTAATTATGATACGCTTACTTTTAATTCATCTTATGCGAGATAAAAAATTTCTCATTTGCAGTCCGACCCTGCAGGTGGAACATCTCTCGAGAGATTTCACGATCTGTGAAATCTTTCTTTGTTTTCATGGATTGGTCCTCTTTACTCGCGCATCGATCTCTTTCGTCGACCAATAACAGTCGAACGAATGCAGAGTTTCGATCTATGGGATCTTTCCGTTGGCAGCGACAGCCTCTCGCGAATCCCGCGGGATTCTCCGAAATAATGCTTGGTTTCGCATGTTGGATTTTAAAGTTTCCACCTTTTCATAGTTTACTTTTACTCTATTTTTATAGCTTTAAGCGATCGTTGCTTTATGCAACATTTCAAAAGGTGTTGTAAAAATCGCTGATTTTTACGCAAACTTAATGGGTAGATACTCAGAAATACTAATCACATCTTAACAGTCAATATTGTTTCGATAATAATCAATTACCGGTTAACTATCGGAATTACGATGTCTATTCAGGTCAATGCTTGCTGGAATATTCACGTACTATATCAAGAGCATTTGGGAGAGTTAACATCTCAATAAGAGGAAATTATATGTAATTTCTCGCTTAATAATGTTGTAATCCAATATAACTACAATGAGTAATCCAGAGTCTTAAGAGAACACGTAGTTCTATTATCGCGAAACAGTTAGACTGATGTAGGTCAGTATTGGTCAATGTTATTGTTAGAGAAAGAGCGAGAGAGAGAGAGAGAGAGAGAGAGAGAGAGAGAGAGAGAGAAGGTTGGAGGAGGGAGGAGAGAGAACAACTTTTGAAATATTAGGTGTCATGTCACTACTTCATACAGTTCTACGTCTACGGTTTTCGCCGCAGTAATGTTATTCTCCTGCGGTCAGACTTAACTAACAGAATACTGACAGCTAAGGATTGAGATATTTACTTAGCACTTGAGCCGTTTATAAGATTCCAAAGCAATGTTTTTCTATATAAGTTTTTCTATATATGGGTTCTATATATGAGTTTTTCTATATCTTGACATTGAAAATGTCATCGGAATCGTTGTTATTGATATGGTGACTGTAAATATCAAGTGATAAAAAAAACAACTAGTAGATCTGGGTCACTTTGTTTTTTAACTCGATGAGCCCATGCGTTTACGGTACCACGCTTTGGTCGGATCGAAGGAAATCTTTATCGATAAGTATTACGATGCTGCAGCAGTAGATTCTTTCGGCAGCCGGTGAACCTTTAATATCTTCGACGCGTTGAAAATATAGAGATTCTTCTCCTGAATACGTCGGTTGCTCTATTGCTTTCGCGGAACTTTGAGGGCTGTCTTCCATCGACGGAAGAATTCTGTTCGCATCGTATGGCGATCGTGACCTATGTCTGTCTCACGTACTGGGTGATATGAATGAACTCGAGAATTATTAAGTGGGAAATGCTCAACATTTTGTACCACGTTTTTCACAGCTGTCAAATAAAGCCACGGTATCTTCTTTTTCGTTCTTTTCATTTGATGAATAAATGAAGATTTAAATGTCCAATATCCACTTTACGTATCCGGAATAATTCATAATTATATTTTACAATATGCTGAGAATCAGAGTGCAACTCTCGACAAATTTTTCATTTACATTTTAAAAGGGAGAAGCTGGAAGGAATTCGCGAATAAAGTCCACGAGAAATGTTGGGTCGCCTTTTTCCCACGCATGAAAACTGTTCAACCAACCCATCAATCATACGAATAATATGGACGAAAAATTTATTTCGCAAAAACGCAGCGTATTCAATACGTCGAGGTGAAACGAATTATTGCAGATTAAGCAACAAATTTTTGTGTCGTATGTGCGCATGAAGAAAATTTATAAACAATATCCGGATATTTAGAAAAATATTTTTAGTTGTATAAAATGTATCAATAACACTTGTGTGTTACGAATCAAATCCAATATTATATATTTTAATAATATATATAATTAAATTAATTAATAATTTCAAAATTATTATGTAATTAAATGAGAATGAAAGGATAACACATAAATACTGTATATATTATAACTTTCCGAATTTCGTAAATTATTTCCATAAAATTAATTTATACTTCAATATAAATTATAAATTAATTTGTTTTTCACCGATTTTGAAGTTTTCGATAATCTCAACGATCTTAATGTGTTATTATATTTTAATATAGCATCTTATACTAGTGTATATAATTTTATTTATTAAACGCTGTTTATGTATTATTTAATTTGTGTAAAAATATTAATTAAAAATTTTAATGCAAATGTTTTTGCATCGTATAAAAAATACTAAATTATATAATTTATTAGACAGTAAAACCAAGCAACTTATTTTATGTCCGCTCAAAAAGAAATAATTACAATAATATTGTCGAAGACTATTATTATTTTTATCACATTTATGATGTAAATGAAATAGTTATAGTTTTAATCATAGCTTAGCAGTTTTCACATTTACATAACTTTACATAAATAAATAAAATTTTAATAAAAATAACTATCTATTAATTTTTTTTATTTAAAATGTTCTTGACATAAACGCTATTATTCTTGATAGAGGTTAAATATATTTGATATTGCTTAGTTCGTACAAAGCTAAGTGTAATTGTTAATTAACTGTTTGCGGCCAATTAACAATTATGAGATAATGAAGTACCTAACCGTCTTCGCTACCGAAGGTTTGCAGGATAAAACGAGCACGTTCTTCTTGCAAGAGCATAGTTAACTCGGTATTCAGCTCGGTGGCTTTGGAAGTCTCATTGAGCCGAAACTTCTTTCACCGACTCGGCCGGCTATTTAAGTCTTAGACTCCTTTGATTACTCGCGCGTACGTCGTTATCTTTGAGAAGCCGGACTACGCTATGCTTGTCTCACGACAGTGACGCACAGCACGTGGGCTACCTCGACTTTCTTTGAGGTTGTCAGTTTCTCTTAAATAGTTAAAAGTAAAAATTCTTAAGAGCGAAGGTAGGATTCATTTTGAAATTGTTAATTTCGGTAATTTTAGATTTCAATGATACAATAAAAAAATCAAGGATTTAAAAAACTCAGAGATACGAAAATGATCTTTATATATATATCCAATACAAGTAAAAGACTTACATCTTTGCGGTTATTAAAACATAAATTATATATTCATAAAGAAATAAGATATAATTAAAAAACAATGGAAATGCTCTTATCAGACGTTTCAACTCTGGACTCAGTTTGTACTTGACTTCCACACTAAGGAGAACTCAAATCCAGAGTCGAAACATTTGTTAACTTTATTTAGTAAGTATTATTTCAATTATTTGTAAAAATTATATCTTATCACCTTATAAATATGTAATTTACGCATTAATAACCGCGGGGGCTGGTAAAAACATTTTATTTGTATGGGATTTATTCTTGGAGTCATAAAATTATTAATTAAATCTAATCTTTATATGAATATATAAAATTTAGACTTAGAAATGTTTTCTTGTATTTGTACACATAGAATATAAAAGATTAAATCAAAATTATATAAGTATCCACGAGAACTTCATTCATACTTTATATTTCATTTTCTTACAAAACAAAGTGAACGTGATTGTTGGCATGCAAGTTGAAGGACAATCAGCTACGGAGACTGGCGTTTACCTGAACAAACAGAGACAAGTCATCTCCCAGCAGCATGTCCCTGCAGACGTCCTTAGCTGTAGTGTCCAGAGTAAGATATACGAGGCTGCTCTCGATCCCCGTATGTATCCTCACCCACCCACTCCCATTACCGACGTCCACCCCGACTCCCGAATCCCACGAGGAATTGAAGGTATCCAAGAGGTTAGCGGCGTCCTTCGTATCTTTCACGCTCGAGGGACTTCCACTCTGTATAGAATCCGTGCTGAAGCTGTCCTTCTCCTCATTGCTATCCTCCGACGTCAGCTGCATCCTTTCGCTATCGAATTTATCGATTGTCTCGTCCAGGTTTTCCAGAATCTTGCTCTCTAAAATCTTTTCGTCTATCACAGCGTCTTCGCTTGCTGTCCGCGATTCAACATTATCTTTTTGCAGTTCGGATCGATCAATCTTCAGAGCTTTTGCATTTTCCAAACTATCATTCTCCGGCTCGTTATTATACAGATTGCAACTTTCAGGATACAATCTGGAATTCTCAAGGCAATCTTGAGTCTCAATTGATTCGATCTCCTGTAGAGGCATGTCCTCATTTGCATAGAAGATCGAACTTCCTTCTGACAATCGTTCTTTCTTGTTTTTCAATTTCACATATTTCAATGGCTGCGTTTTCTCGTCTAGTTGGTAGAAGAAATTTTCCTTAGCCGCCATGCTAAAGTTCGTATTCTCGCAAACAATTCTGCGTTCAGGCTTATTCGTAGTTCTTGAAATGTCTTTCTTCTCAGTTCGATCTTTCATACTTTCGTAGTAACTTCTAGATAAGATTGATTTATTATCTGTTGTTTGTCTGCAAGTATCTCTCTTGGAGGAATCTTTTCTACAAGTGTCTTGGTTAGAAATATCCTGCTTAAGTATGCCCTGGTTCTTTCGATCGTTCGTTCTACAGATTGTTTTGTTTTTCCTCTTGATCTCTGTATAAACATGTTCCTCAGGATCAATGTTATCCTTGACACGATTTTTGGTAATCTGTTCTTTCGTATCCTTGACACGTTTTGATCTTTGGTGAAACCTTTCATAGTTGGCCAAAATCTTTTGATTAAGCTCATGAATCAATTCTAGCCGTTTGGAAATGGAGTCACTGGCCTTGTCCTTGATCCATTTTCTTGTCGTATCAGCCTTGTCCTTTTTGAGCGTATTCTGTTGCCTCTGCTTTCTCGTCGCAGAGCTACGACTGGGAATACCGATTTCATACTTTGAATCGCTCTTGAGAATGTTCTCATCCTTCGTATCGATCTCGATTGAATGGGAACTTCCACGGTGCTTTCGATCGATATTTGAGAGGAATCCAGACACATTCATCAACTCCAATGTTGATTTGGTTGATGACAATGCTGACGATTTGGCTTCGCAATTCCGTTCTGAATATTCTCCAATTTTCGATTTACTTTCCATTTCCTTTCTACAATTCTCGCTGAACTCGATACCTTTCCTGCTGTCGGGACGAATCGTCAATCCGACACTGGAGCCGCTACTCAAGCTGATCCTCTCGTTCATCTCCCAGTTTATCAGTAGTTTGCCTCTCGTGTTGTCCTTATCGATGTTCTTACTAGCTGCGGCACAAAGACCAAGTTTATGATCCGGATCTTGACGAGGAAGAGAATCCTTCGGGATCTTTGCGGTGGGTCGTTGTTTTAATCCTCTGGTGGATGATAATCGACGGGATCTTCGCAACTTTATGGATGATGTAGGAGCAATTGTTTGATTGCTGGATGCATTGGCGATTAGCATTTTAGTCGTGGATTTTTTACAGTTAATCTATAAACCACGTTGTGTGTGCACAAAATCTAACATTAAAACAATTAATAACTCAATTTAAATGTTATTAATAATTTTTATTATATATAAAATTGTCCTCTTACTTCAACAATTTATAAATCCTTGATTCTACAATAAATTTTCATCCTATTAAAATTCATTTTTTTTATGCCATTAAATAACATATTTATCATTTAAAAAATAATTTACTTTTTAAAGATAAATAAAATATTAAAAAATAATTTACTTTTTACAAAGAAATAAAATTTTATAATGTTACGAAATATTATGACTTGTTTTCTAGATTTTATTTTATTTTATTTTTCCAATGTTTTATTAAATAATTTACAAAACACTCGCGTTTTATTAAATAATATATAAATATGATATTCTGATAGGATATCATGTTTTTTAAACATACAGGATATCTTCAATTTTTAATTGTTATTTTAATAATTAGCAGAGCAAACAATAGAACGTGAATAAATTCTATTGTGTAATCTAAAAATAAATAATACAAATTTTTTATTTCGAATGTGTACAAAGTGTGAAATAATTGGCATGACGGAGTGACAGAGACGTCGTGGAATTTACGAGAGCGCGATTATGCGTTGTGGAATAACAAATTTCCACATGACGGAAGTAGAATCGCAACAGATCGTCGGTAAATGACTATACTGATACTACGATGAATGTATCTCTATCGTTTTTATGTGTGTGTGTGTGTGTGTGTGTGTGTGTGTGTAGGGGAAGCCCTAAAATGTCACGCCTGGATGCTCGTTTCAGCAGCACTGATGTCTACAGTACGTATATATCTAATGCAGTTGGTTAAAGTATCTATGCACATAAATGGAAATACTATACAAATGTTAGATAGATTAGATACTTTAAATGATTATTATATATAAATATATATTGATATACTTAATAAAAAGGTATTAATAATATCTTAATCGAAAATTTCTTGATAAAATTGATCTAATTATCATCATTATATTTTCGTAATAATTTAATTTTTATCTTTTTCAATATTTTAGAGCATATAGATTAATTCGATTATTGACGTTTATGATTTTGAGACATAGATCTTGAAATATTATAATTCTTTAGTTTATCTTTAGTTTTTAAATCCAACCCCTGCCTCTTTTGTGCTAAATACACATCTCGTAGTTAAGTATGATAAGTTATTCATATCCCGTATCAAGAGAGAGAGCTCATACAATAAATCTGTCTCGTCGAAACGTGACGTTTAGCCGATCTCGCGACGTCACATCACATTGTCACTGATTGTCGCGCGCACGTCGTGAGTGATCAGAGAATTTGATCCCAGCGGAGAATTACCTTTCAGACACCATCGAGGCGAGATACATAACCGTGAAACGTGTGAAAGTAATCCGCGGGGAACGACCAGGAAGACGAGAAAGAAGATGCGAATACGTGTTGCACTTGTGGCTTCGAATCACGTAGCTGTGCTTTCTATTTATCTATCGTCCCGTAGCCGAAAAAGAATTCATCTTAAGTTTATCGCCGCGTTCGCCATCGAAAATTTATACTCCGAGAAAGGGGAAAGGGCAGGAGGAAGGTGGCGAACTTCCTTTCTCACGAAATGCGAGTTTCCGGGGCGTGTCAACGGTATTATGCTTCGTATAAATTTGAGCGGTAAGGGCGTGGAGGACATTCGGAATGGTACCGTCGATCAACAGGCAAACTCATGTGAGCAAGCGGATCATGAATGTACGCACGGTGAAAAGAAATGGAAATGAGATAGCTTCCTATGTAACGTAATTTTTTACACCGTCATACGAACCATAACGTTTCGAACGTGCAATAGCATTAATAGGCGCGAAAATGATCGTTAATCTTAATCCTGTATAATTAAATTGCGAAGAAAGTAAATAAAGATAATATTACGTTACATTCCATTTTCTATTATATATACATATATTTTTTACATTTATGTATTTAATTAATTTAATTTAGTATCTATTAATTTAATTAATATCTGACCAGGCCATTCACTTTCAAATTCAATATTAATTAGCTGCTTTGACTGAAAATTAGCCGGTACAGATAGCAGTCGTAAACCCATGACTGTCCAATCTTGTTAACGAAAACAAATATTAACTAGAGAGAATAATCATTAACGACAATACCATAGATAACCATTTGTCAATAGAACCATAGCCGTATGATTTCCACCTAGTCGCCTGCCAATATTATCGAACAAATATTTCTGGCTAACAGAATTTGATAGAACACCACGATTGACATCTATTATCTATTGAAAGGAGAGATCGAAAACAGATCACAAGGGCATAGCAATGTTTTCCTCGAGATTCTGTCTAAATATACATAAATTATTTTAGTAATATATGTGATTCATACACAATTTTATTTTTTAAATTAACAAAATTAAATAAAGTAGTTATTTCTAATCATTGTGCGTAATTAAATAAAATGTAATCTTGATAATATGGAAATTAACGTATGATTAATATTTTACTATTCTGCAGATTTTTTACTATTCTGCAAAATATCTAAAATTTAAAGATAAAATATCTAAAATTTAAAGTTTAAAATATTCAAAATTTAAATATTAAAATTTAAAGATTATTTTTATGTCCTATAAATTTTTCATGCTAGAAAATATAATATTTTTTAACAAAATTATTGATTCATAATTATTTTAAAACAGTTTTAAAGTGAATTTTAAATTTACCTTCGCTTTTAAGACTAATCGAAACAAAAATATATAAATGAGTACATATAATGAAATATTTTGTATAATCAAGGATTTATATATCATTGACAAAATGTTTTAATTGAAAGTTTTACTACATTTATGAAATTGTTTAATAGTTAAATTAATTGCTAAATTTTAATAAATGTTTACGTTAAATTAAAATACCGCTTGGATTAATAATCGCTTTGATGTTCAATTGTATTAAGAAATTAATTTCGTTGATACAAAACCACGAAAGCTAACAAATTATCATTTTTCACTTCTCTTAACTTACATTAATAAAAATTCACGATTCAATTCACTTTATTTATTACTATTCAATGATTATATTTCAACACTGTGACGATAAGTTTAAGTTCAGAAATAAAATGTTCTGAAAGATTTACAATTTCAAACACTGCGCGTACTTGTCACAAAACATTAATAATAATCAGTGATTCTAATATAATTAGAATCATATTAATAAAGACTTTGGTTAATTTCACAAAAGACACAAAGGAAACCAGCTTTATATCATTTATTGAACAGACACGTCGATTCACGAGGTAGTCATCACGGACACTGGCCAGAGTTCAGGATTGTCGTATCGCACCCGGCATCATGCATACATCGCCAAGCCACCTGTCTCTCTTTCTACCTGTTGGTTGCCAAAGGACAGAAACGGAAGAGAAAGAGAGAAAGAAAGAGAGAGACAGAGAGAAGAGAGATAGAGCCTGTGTTTCAAGTGAAGGGAGGAGAGAGAAAGGTCTCTTTGCCGGCGATCTCTCCTTTCCACGTGTTCGCATCACGTGTTGTAGCTTATAGAGAAAGAGGAGGATAGCATGATGCGGCGTCCTCGCAACTGGCGACCCTCGTCGGGGGAACCAACGGCAGCGGAATGATGTACTTCCGCTCTTGACATCGCTCTTGGCGAATAGTTGGAGAGGATGATTGAATTTCGGGAATGTCTGGGAAAGGCTGGCAATCGAGGCAAAGGTACCATCGGGAGATCTCGATGATGAGGTTTGCCAGTCGATTCTTGAATATGAAATTTTGAAATAGCGACTACTCGATATCCAGAAGATGGTAGGAATTCCCCAGAATTCCCAGAATTCCCTCGAGAAGGATTAGTCAAAGATTTATGATTGGTTTTATCAATATTAACTTCAATCGACTCTTTATCTTAATTGTAGAATTATAAGTGGAAAGAGATAAAAAATTTGGTAAATTATGAGTGAAGTTAATTGAGATCATGATAAAACTGATCATTAGTGACTGTCTTATTACAATATGCGGTCAAATAATTAATATTTCTGTATTTATATAAAATTTAAACATAATAATATGATAATAATAATCTTATAAATGATAAAAACATGATCGTTCTTTTTCAAGGATTATGTGATGACTGCTAAGCGAATAGACAATTGTCGCCGTTATAAACGCAGTACAATTTATCATGTAAACACAGTGGATTTGTGAAATGTTTCACGCGGTATGTATATTGTTTCTGAAAGTAGTTTAAGAGCGTTATGTTGAAACGTAACTCAACATAAAGGAGGTCATTCCCACGCGTCTCTTTCCTCTCCCTTTCTCGGGCAAAGTAGCGTGCCCATCCTTTCAGGCCCAGGAAGTTGGGCCTGTATGGGTGCGCCTCGCGTGTTTGTGCGGTAACCGAAAAATGTGTCTGTCTCAGTCGAACGATTTGACACGCTTGTACGTGATAACGCGCGACTGGCTTCGCAATTTGCTCCCAAGTTACAGTTTCAAGAGCCATCATTGTTACACGAGCTGCAAACTTGCAGTTACATGCTCGAGAATTATTACCTTTAGTTTACGGTACGCAGTAGCAGTCAAGGATCTACGAAAAGGAAGATTTATGAAAACAAAGCTCTGCCACACGTGAGATTTATGAAATGAAGAATTTACAAATTAATCCCTATAGTATTAGCAAAATTAGCTCATGTTCACTGGAGGCTAAGAGCTTATCCGATCTTCTCAATCATATATACCTCGAAAGTATTACTTAAAGTGACTCTCCGTTTTTTGTTATGTTGAAAATAAATTGCTGTACATTCGAATTACTGTATACGTAAAACTGTTCGTATTCGAATACTCTACAATTAAATGCGGTTGATATCTTGAATATCTCCTTTGCGAAGCGAATATGATATTATATTATCGAATATCCGTGACAATGTTGGCGAATAAAGAGAATAAGTCTTTTGTCTGTAGCGAGAATCTGTATCAG